TTTTGCCAATAGCCATTCTCAGTAAATATAACTATGAATTAGTTATATACCTCCAATTTAGTCTGTAACTTTTTAAATCAAGAAGTTGGATGAAGTTTGGGAATACAGTAGTTATCAGTACCATTTATTTCGTCTCCAGTATGCCAGTAGCCTTTGTGTCTCCAGTGCACCATTAATCTTAATATGTTCTTTAAACAGTCCTCCAAAGGAGGAGGAGGAGGCCATTGGTGTTTTTGTGGATGCAGAATCTGAGATTCAGCAAGGTCATATAACTTACTCAAGGTCAAGTAGCTGGCAAAGAGTAGAGAATTTTAACCCAGGGAAGGCTGGCCACAAAACCGTCAAACTGTTTTGCTGCCCTGGCATTGCCTAAGAAAACATGTAAGTACTTTATTGTAGGAATGAAGGTAAAGGAGTTGGAATGAAATGTGCCTGAATATCCAGGAAGCCTTCAGGCGTCTCCCAGTGTCTACATATCATTTTTGAAAGTTAAGAGTTCTACAGGGAGGGAATCACAGCCTTTGTTCATGTTTTCCTTTTTGTTGGTTCTTGAACAATCACAGGTTTTTCATCAGTATACTTTATTATGTTAAAAACAAAGCTGGCCTTCTTCCCGGTAAAAGTATGTTTCCTGTAGAAAATACAGTTACACCCAGAAAAGATAAGACTCCCCAAACTGCCTAGCAGAAGCTGCCTTACAGTGTGGGCACTGTATCGGGGCACTGAAGTATGAATTGTGCTCTGTGACTTCCCACCTTGGAGACCTGTTTGTGGTCTGAGGGTTGGAAAGGCCTGTTTCGTTAGGATTGTTAAGGTTAAATGAGTTACCAGTTGCAAAATGCCCAGAAGTAACTAAGAGATGCTTAACATTTTCATAATCTTCTGGTCTTCTTTCTGAATCTGTGTGTACAGGGGTGTAAATATATCTGCTAGTGCTCTTACATTTTTAAAAGGAAGTATTTTTTTAAACCAAATGATATGTTGTTATCACTAGTTACCTCCTTACCTTTAAATAGTTTTCTCCCTCCCTTGACCGCTGCCTACAATGCAGATGGGATGGCTTAAATTGAACTGAACTTGTATTGGTGAATGTACAGATTTCCAGTTTTGCAATGACAGATTTTAAGACAAACTAGTATTGTTGCTGTGGCATGAATGTTGTATCCAGGTGACAGCAGCTTCTGGCACTTTTTGGAGCACACCTACCACTCCTTCTCCTGGTGCCTTTGCAGAGTGGACTCCTTTGGGAGCGCAGAAGCTTCCAGTACTGTGGATTCACAAGGAGCCCTAAGTGGGGGAACTCAGGCTCTTAAATCTAGGAAAAAACTCTTTTCTGAGATTAGTATCTTAGCTATTTCTTGTTTCCTAAGAAATCACAAATCAGAAAGTTATTTTGTTCAATGCTTGCCATTTCTGAAGTGCTAAGAAGCTGTCCTTCCAATCTCAAGAAGGACTCGGGGGTGAAGCCTTGCTCGTTGCTTCCTAGGCTGGATCCCTCAGCCTTCAGGTTGGAAAGCTGCAGATAGACTTATACCATGCAGCCCCGCTACCCCCACCTTGCTATTTTAGTTGTATGAGTTTCTGGTGACACGCTTGTTTCTTTCACTAATGTAAAGTTCTTGCTGGATTCTAGTTGGCAAAAACATTGATTCCTATTTACTCCCTCCCTCACACACACACTGCCTCCCACCGCTAGCAAACCAATAAGCTACGTGTATGAACATATCCTTGCCTGTCTGATTTCTTTCTTCAAATACAATATCTGTCTGTCTGTCTATCTATCTATTGGCTCAAGCGATATAATTGTCTCTAGAGTATGACTTCTAGAAGGCAAGAGAACAATAGCCAGAAGTGATGGGGTATGATGATCTCTTGTGTGATACCCTTCTGGCAAGCCTAATGGCTTTAATAGGATCTTTAGCTCATACTCAGACAGAACGAATCTGAATGTTGGAAACCTGACATTTCATACCTTGTAAAAGAACTCAGCTGTATTGCAAGATGTGTGCCCAATCTCAAGAAGCCATTTCCTCAAGACATTTAAGGGAATGGTTTGATTTTTCTTTTCTTTTTCCATTCCAATCTAAAAAGACTATCATCACTGCTGAGAAAGAAAATTTAATATGCTAGTAGGGTGATACATCTGTCAAAATTACAGTGTACAAGAGTGGCATCAGAACTTCAAAAGGGGGAAGTGTGTCATGTTTGTAAAACTCAAAGCATCAATTACTCTCAGTAGTAGTTTCCAAAGTGCTTGTTAATTGGTTTCCTTCTGACACCCTCTCTGTGAAAAAGGTTAAGTGGCTTTACCCTCCTTTCCCTGGTGAAAACTCAAAGAGAGAGGTTAATTGACTTGCCTTGAGTTCTCTACAGAGAGGCTGACCCAGTTGGAGAAATTTCCGCTGCTGTAACTCTTGCTTTCCCTTCCAAAGAAAGGCTCCATGGAGCCCGATCTGCCCTGAGAAGGCTCCAACTGAGACAGGGAAAACTTCCAGCTAAGGAAGAAGTGTCTTGCTGAGCCCTTTTTCTCTTCTTCAGTGGCGCTGGGAGTTGAACCTATGAGCCATAGTCTTTCATTCTTGGAACTGCTGGGGCAGTAAGAAAGATGGTCTTAAGGTCATAGTCCATGATTCTTGAACTAGAAACTGTTCTGCTGCCTTGTGCTGGGCTGTAGGGATGATGAATGGCAGAAATTAATTATCTTTTACTAAATTGCTCATTTTCATCAGGAGCCCTGTGAGTTGAGCTATAAACATGACATCTTTGGGAGGTTTAGGAATCTGTTATTATTCTCAGAAAGAAAATTATTCACTTGTTGCCCTTTTCTGTAGAAGGGGAACCAGTTTTCCCTGATGACATGTTGGTGTTAAAAGTTGTCCAAATTCTGATACTGCAAAATATGTATTAGGACTATAGAGCTGGTTTGTAATACAGAGGCCTCCTGCATTGCTTCCTCGGCCCCAAGCACACCTGCTAAATCTTGAATCATCTTGGCCTACCGTTCTCAGCAATGCAGCAGATTTTTGACCCAAAACTAGGTTGGTGGTGCCATTGAAGGTAACAGTCTAGAAAAGAAGTTATTGTTGTGTCTTGGGGTGAGCACTGCTGGGTTGAGCAGCTACCTGGGATCATAAATTGAGGACCAGCAATGAATTAAATGGACAGAGTTTAAGAGCTGAAGATGCCTTATTTATTAGGAGGAAACAGGACAGAAAGCTGCCCCAAGGAGGGGACAGGGAGGTCTGGAAAGACAGATACTCACAGGTCTTTGTCCTTCGCTTCTCTTATGATGTTTTAGGAGACCCTTCCTCCCTGGAACCTGTGATAATTTGGACTGTCCTTGAAATACACTGGGCACCCTTCTGTACATGCATATTCCTTTTGGGGGGCTTTGTATGACATTTTTCTGTGACTTGCCTTTGTCAGAGCCTTATTTCTGGGGTGAATGGCTGATGGGTTAGGAGGATCCTTATAGGTCAGTTTAGGATTAGGGATGTATATCTTTTGTAGTAATATAGTGACCCTAGAGTGAAATATATATATATATATATATATATATATGCAGTAATATCTTGGATTACAAAAAACTTGGTTTGCAAACAGAAGCATGCTGAAAAATTTTGCTTTTCTTCAAGCAAACTGTACATCTAATTAAGATGAGCAGAATTGTGGAACAAATGTTTCAGTCTGTGAACCACTGTATAGCTATGTATTACATATACTGTATATGGGAGTGCATGAGTGTATATTTTTATATTCTGAACAAGAGTTTTCTTTAAAGCAAGCTAGCCCCTGCCCCTCCTCTCCTTTGCATTTGGTTGGAGCTGAGGAGGGTGTTATCGTGGCTTTGTGCGCCTGGCTTCTCTGTACTCTGCCTGTCAGATTTCCATCTGCTCCTCTTGATGTAAGTCTCAATGCCACTTTTGCTATTTGGTGCCTTTTTTTTTTTTTTTTTAATCTTTCTTTTTCCCTTTTGGTCTCTCCTCCTGTCCTTGTAGTTGTTTCCAAGGGCATTCTTCTAGTAAAATTTAACTCCTTCTGGTCAGTATGAGCCAGAAAACCAAAGAGGCTCCTATTCTGTTCTTTCCCTGGCTCCAGAGTCCCTTTCCCTATGTTATCATACTGATGTTTCTAATATTCTTCTATCATGAATGTATCTGTCTTCTGACTCTGTATATGCCCTCTCAAAATTAGCTGAAATATTTGTGAGATTGTTAGGAGCCGGTGGAGGGTAAGCTTTGCAAGAGTAAGCAAATTGTAGGACTTTGAGACAGCAAAATGGTCTGATCATCACTCTGTGGCTTCAAGGTTGAGGCTTAGGCTAGTGGGGTCTATTTTCAGCTTCATGTTTCCTGCTAAAAACAACAACAACAAAAACCATAGGCATACTTACCTCACTGTTAAACTGTGAACTTGCACCAACAGACATCTACTTCATAGACCAAAGCAGGTAAACTTGGGTCCAGTGAATGTTGGCACATAGTAGCCTCAGCATAAGGTTGCCTCACTTGTTCAACCAATCAGCACTGCACCCCCTCCTGTACCCAGTTGTTTATTTTAAATTAGTTTGGGGAGTGGATTTGCCACCCAGCTCTCTGGATTCTGCAGACATTTTTTTTTTTTTTCCATTTATGTATTTGGTACAGGGACTCACCGTGCAGCTCAGACTCAAGTAGTGATCCTCCTGTTTTCAGCCTCTGCAGCGCTGGGATTACAGGCATGTGCCACCATGCCCAGATTTGTTCCATGGCTCAGCATGCCCCGGAGCGGGGCCAGCACTAGCACAGCATGCGGGTCTGGGGATCGAACCCTGATCCTTGTGCTTGCCAAAGCAGGCGCTTAGTCCACTGAGCTATCTCGCCGGCTATCTGCAGACATTTTATTAGATGGGGAAACAAGGCACATGATGGGATGAAATCCAGGTTGACGTGACCTCTCTTCCTGTGCATTTTGTCTGGAGCAAGGATCCATGGTCACCTCCCTTGCCCTTTTCTTCCCAGATGGAGCAAGAAGATCAGGCTGTGTGTGAACACCAGGACTCAGAAGACAAAGAGATGGGCTCTGATTTTGAGAACACTGAGGACAGGGAAGGGGACCCAGAGGAAAAAGGAATGGATTCTAATCCACAGGATGTGGGAGACAGAGGCCACCTGGTGGAGGAGATGGGCTCCAAGCCACAGGATGAAGCTCTGAGAGGAGAAATGCAGGCGAGGGAAGGAGCACGCAGCATCCCCACAGGTGAGGAGAGGCTGGAATCTCCCCTGCTCCCCTTTACACTGTGCTCCTCTAGAGTCACAATCAGGGCAGCATTCCTTGAGGGGAGGCTCTAGAGGGAGCACCAAGCAGGATCTCCTTCCTAGTGTGGGTGCAGCAGAGCACCCTGTTCTTCTATTGAGTCTGAGGTGGGCCCTGCTGGCCATGGAGGGCAAAGTGGCTCCGTGGTGGCACGGCACTTGGCATCACAGAGCACCACCGCAGAATGCCACTTGTAACAGTGCAGCAGGGCTGCACAGGGAGCATTGGAGCCTGCCGTGCATGGCTGCTGGGAGAGTGAAATGCATTGTTGCATTTGTTTAAAGGGTTACTCAGCACGGTGCTGGGCAAAGTTATCAGATGAAGTAATCATGTACTGCAAGTAAACTCACTGGTAAGTGACTTACTTAACTTTATGTGGTGAATTTCCAGAGTCCAGGCCATGTGCTAAATCCATTGCTATTCCTAACCTGAAAGAGTAAATGCTGGGCCTCTATCCACTTCTTTATTTTTGCCTTTGGGCCTTTGTTGCTTATTTCTGTGCAGTGCATGCCCTAGCGAAAGAAACGAGCTGAAATTCTCTTTGGCTAGGGCTAGGTCTGTGAGGTTACATTTGTTTCTTGTGACACAGTCCCAGATTCCCCACTGCCTTCCCCCACTATGTACAAAAGCATGTGGCCTTCCCCACCCCAGGAACTTTCTGGAGCCCTCTGTCCTTAGGGATAAAGCAGCCAGTGACCAGCAGGTGTGTGTCCTGGCTCAGCCTCCAACTGGGGCTCACAGTTCTAGGCTCCATGTGCTCTTCTGCTGACCTCACTCGCTCTGCCCTGTCATAGTCACCTTCTTAAAAGTGAGTTGTTGTTCCACCTTCAGCTATTGCAGATAGAATTATTTAAAACATAAGTACAGAGCCTCTTTAGGCCAAGTTGTCGTGTGTGTGTGTGTGTGTGTGTGTGTGTGTGTGTGTATGTGTGCAAGTGCATGCGCTTGTGTGTGTGCTTGGCCACTCTACTTTGTCTTTTGAAGCTAGACCCTTAAAAAGGCACTGACAGCTCTTGGATATGCAAACCTTGTTTCTGGAGATCCAGATCTCAGCAAGATGCACCTGGCCGACCTTGGGCCCCTCTGCCTTTAGTGGGTCTGTTAGGCAGAGTCTGAGGTATAGGGTGTGGGGTACACAACGTGAATCAGAGAGCACTCTGTTTAGGGTTTTAATGAGAAAAAGAGCTGGGCAGGGTCTGAAAGGGAGGAAGGCAGGCCACTGAGGGTTGGGGTGTCCCAAGTGCCCCAGGACCGAAGCCCTGGCCCTCACTCTTGGCTGTGGAGGCTGTTCTCCTGAGGCTTAACCTTTGGAGTGCTGTCTAGTTAGCCCCATTGCTGCTTTTTCTATTGCAGAGGAGCTGCTGAGTGAGGAAGAAAGGGTTGATCTCCCTGAGGAGGAGAAAAAGGAGGAGAAGAACGAGGAGGAGGAGGAGGAGGAGGAGGATGACCAGCCTGGTGTGGCTGACATGGCGGTGTTCTCAGGTCTGTCTGAGTCGGACAGCATGGCGCGGAGCCCGGAACAGGAGGGTGAGGAGAGTGCTGCGGAGAACACACTGGAGGAGGCCGAGGAGGAGCCGCCGCCCGCTCCTGTGCTTCCCTGGAGGCGCCACCTCTCCCTGGGGGGCCGACACCGGGGTGCCAAGCCCTCACACCGCCGCTTCCACCGGCTGCACCACCCGTTGGCCGTGGACCTTGGGGAGCTTGACAGCTTGGTGGCCAGCATCATGGACGCACCCACCATCTGCCCGGACTGTGGGGAGAGCTTCAGTCCGGGCGCGGCTTTCCTGCAGCACCAGCGCATCCATCGGCTGGCGGAGGCCGCGGCCGTGGCCAGCCTGGAGCCCTTCGGCCTGGCGGGCGAGTGCGGGGCGGTGGTGGGTATGATGGGGGTGAGCATGGCAGGCGGCTTTGGGGCGGCCCCCGCTCTGGCCCGGCCCGCCCGCGAGAAGCCCTTCCGCTGCGGGGAGTGCGGCAAGGGCTTCAGCCGCAACACCTACTTGACCAACCACCTGCGCCTGCACACGGGCGAGAGGCCCAACCTGTGCCCGGACTGCGGCAAGAGCTTCAGCTGGCGCGCCGACCTGCTGAAGCACCGCCGGCTACACACAGGTGAGAAGCCCTACCCGTGCCCGGAGTGCGGCGAGGCCTTCAGCCTCAGCTCGCACCTGCTCAGCCACCGGCGCGCACACGCAGCGGCCAGCGGTGCAGGCGCAGCGGCGATGCGGCCCTTCGCGTGCGGGGAGTGCGGCAAGGGCTTCGTGCGCAGATCGCACCTGGCCAACCACCAGCGCATCCACACCGGGGAGAAGCCGCACGGCTGCAGCGAGTGTGGGAAACGCTTCAGCTGGCGCTCGGACCTGGTGAAGCATCAGCGCGTGCACACGGGAGAGAAGCCCTACATGTGCTCCGAGTGCGGGGAGACCTTCAGCGTGAGCTCGCACCTGTTCACGCACAAGCGCACGCACTCCGGCGAGCGGCCCTACGTGTGCCGCGAGTGTGGTAAGGGCTTCGGGCGCAACTCGCACCTGGTGAACCACCTGAGGGTGCACACGGGCGAGAAGCCCTTCCGCTGTGGCCAGTGCGAAAAGTGCTTTAGCGATTTCTCCACGCTCACGCAGCACCAGCGCACACACACGGGTGAGAAGCCCTACACGTGCATCGAGTGCGGCAAGAGCTTCATCCAGAGTTCGCACCTGATCCGCCACCGCCGCATCCACACCGGCAACAAGCCGCACAAGTGCACCGGTTGTGGCAAAGGCTTTCGCTACAAAACACACCTAGCCCAACACCAGAAGCTGCACTTGTGCTAGGTTGGGTAGGGCGAGTAGGTGGGGGCCTAAGCATTCCCAGGACTGACTCTCTCATGGAAGTGGGGGCAGAGGCAGGAGGGTCAATCTGAAAGTGAGCGAGGAGCCTTTTGGTGTTCTGGGATCCTGAAGGGAAGGGCTTAGGAGCAGTTATTTCGGGGTGCTATATATTTTGCCTACCTCCTCTCCATCAAAGAAACTTTTGGGAGGTGTAGTTAGTTGGATGACTTCCTCCAATATGCGCTGTAGAGCGTGAAGGGTATGGATGAGCCAGGGCTCTGAGGACCCTCAGAAAGGAGATTTGCAGTGGGGAACACAATGACAGGTACAGAGGACATTGGCTGTGATGGTCAGCAGGAGTCAGGAAAGCAGGCACGGCTGAATGAGAGTTCTGGAATAAAATAAATTGCAGGTATGAATCTGTCTTGGTCCCACCAGGTGCTAAGTGGTTGCCCTGACCTGACCCCTGAGCCCCTGTCAGCTGTCCTTGACCCCACAGGAGAGGACATTGATTGTACTCTCCCTTTCCTTTTTCTGAGCCACAATTCGCTGCTATTGTGAGGCATCCGGGGGAAACGGCAGGAGAAACAAGACGACAAACCTTTACTTCTAGGGGTAACCTCTGGGGTTTAGAAATTCATTTATAACTTGTCCTCAGAGTTCTTGGAAAATGCTGCTCCTGGTTCTTTTCTGCTTCCTTGAAAGCACTCCAGCTTCATGCTGAGTGATGGTGGTTTGTGAAGATGACCCGTCTCTTTCCTCTGTTGCATGTATACACTAGGGCCTGTTTTTTATTTTTTATTTTTTATTTTTTTTAAGATCTTACTTGTGATTTTTCAGGTACAAAGAATGGAACAGTCCCAGCTCTGTTTTGACTTTTCCCTTCTCAGGTCAGCTTGGTATGTGTTTCAAGTGAACAGCAGACTATCAACAGCCACCCCAGCCCCTCAGCAAATGAATAGCTCAGAATTTTGCTGGCCTTAGGTGAGAAATCCGGGAGAGTAAAGTTTGCTTGTTGAAATGCAAACCCTCTTTGTCTCATTTGCCTGCACTTTGCATGCATGTGCCCTGTCGGCCTGTAACCCCCACCTCCATCCTCACTAATGAGGGTTCTAGTCCAGGCTGGAAGTTCTGTTTCCTATGTGTGCACTGTAGAACCCTCAAGGCTCTACACAAAGAGAGCACAGTCTGGAGAGGTGTAAAAGCAACATTGCCAAATAGCACAAGCGATGAATGTTTTCTAGTTCTACAGATGCCAAAATAACGCTTTTGGATTTGCAAAGTGCTTTATGCTTTTTAATGATTGTTAGTTGTTTCTCACATCTTTGTGAGGTGAATCAGTATTATGACCTCTTGTAGGTAAGGCCTGGGGACAGGAATGTGGCAGGCTGTCCCAAAGGCCGGCCGAGGCCAATGTGAATTGGTGTGGCCTGACCTGTTGTGTTCTCTGGCTCAGCTGCTAGGAAGACTTGACCCATCATGAGTATATGATAAGGACACTGAACAGTTTTATGCTTGATGCTCAAATCTAGCCTAGAAGGGCCAAAGATGTCCTTTTTGACAAAGCTGGTCTTTGTTACCTAGTTAGAATGTCCTAGTTACATTCCATTTCTAGTAGGGGGCGGTAGTTAGAGGACTGTTGTGTAGATTTCAGTTCCCTGCTCTGAAAATACCCTCCTATAGGTTAACCTTAGAAGTTAGAGTTGTGGGAAGAAGTATTTTCTTCACTAATATTTGTTACCCCATACTGTTCATGGAAGCGTTTTCACAAACTGTTGGACACAGTTGAGGGGGAAAACTACAAAATTGTTTTTACAGTTTTAGCAATGTTTCTGTGGATATTAGTAATTTATACTTGATCAGTTGTATTCTAGCAAAGAACCTCTTTGAGGACAGTAGGAAAGCATGTTTTTGTCATAACACAAAAAAACCCTGAGAATCTTGGGTTGTATATTGCCTATTGATCTTGCCCTTTTAATCATTTTGTTATTATTCATAAATGAAACTGGATGTTCATACTAGGGATACTTTTGAGAGACATGAATTCATTTTTATTTTCTTTGAGTCAAGCAAAGTACCTGTTATTTATTCTGAATTATGTAGTTGGAATACCAAGTGTATACAGTCTATCTAAAAATAATATGACCAATTTGTAGGTAATCTTTCTCCTTTGTGTGATTTTTTTTTAAATGCACATTTACCTCTTCCAGCTGTTTTGTTCTCTCAAGTCTATGCCTATACCATCCTATACCATCTCATCCAACTTTTGATTATTTATGAGTTGATTATTGACTTTATGTGTTCCTTCGTCTTTTGCTGCTGACATGACAGCCTCATCATTGTCAAACATATCAGCAAAATTGGAGCTCAGTGGGGAATGGCATGCGGGTCAAAGCTCATGTAAAATAGTAGCAGTTAAACTCTTTGGACCTCACCTCTCTTGTCCTTGAGTCAGCTATGGCATTAGAATCCCTTCTCTTTGTCGGTAGAAAGCTGTTTATCCACCAGTGCCCAATCTCATTGTGTATTTAAAATGTGATTCTACATTTCATATGCTTCTCCAGGGTGTGTACTCACAATACATGATGTTAAATGCATTCAAAATGGCATTTCTTTTAATTTTACAGTGATAGGATTTTGTCAGTAAACCCTGTTCACTGTGGGTCACCTTTGGAAATGTTAAGAATTCCTTTCTCCAAATCATTAATGATAGTAGCAGCAAGTGTATTATTTATTTCTTAAGGAATTTGGCCAAGACCTCTGCTAAGCCAAACCTGAAACAGAAGTTTGATTAAACCTTGAGTTCTGGGTTTGAAGGAGATGAACATTTAACCCCTTGAGCCATGTAGCTTCTTGTTACGGTCAAGAAGCTGTAAATATGTGAAAAGGTACGAATTAAGGGTTTGTGTTCATGGACAATCTGAACTGTGTTTCTGAAGTTTTTGTATACTTTTCTTCACTGTAATGTTACTTTACATCTGCTTGTTAAAATAATGAGTAATTTAATGCTTCTAAGAGGAACAGGTTTTGTGTGAGTGTGTGTGTGTGAAAACTGCCTTGTTTGGGGGTTTTATTTAATATTGGCTCTTTGGATAGTATTCTGATGTTCAGCAACAAATATGGGATACTTGTCATTTAATCCATGTCAGTCTTTAACTGTTATTCCTCCTTATTTGTTACTCATGTTTTAACTGGTACACAATTTGGTCTACAGAAGGTATGTTATGGTAAAAGAGGGGTGGGTGAGCTACCAGACCTGGCCCAACTCTTTTTGTAAATAAAATTTTATTGGAATACAGTTTCACCCGTGCAGTTACATTCTTTCTTGTCTGTAGCAACTTTCGTATTGCAGTAACAGAGCTGAGTAGTTGTGCAACTTGCTTACTGCCACATTAAATGTTGGTTGAGGCGGATCCTAGATTATTCTATACTTGACTGATTTCTGGACTCATAAATGCAGTAATTTGTACAAGTTCTTGCCAGTAACTTGGTACAGTATATCTAAGCACAAGTGCTTGTGAGAGGCTGGGTGTGTGTTTATCATGTAGCACGGTTGTCCCTTCTTCAGTAGGTCTTTTTTTTGGAGGGGTCTACAGGGTGTTCAGGGTCTCACTTCTAGATCTGACTGGTAGTGATCCACCTGTTCACAGCCTCCCAAGAGCTGGGTTTATAGGTGGGCACCACCACATCCAGTCTCAATTGCTGTCTCAGTGCGCCTTGGGGGGGGGGGGCTAGTATGGCAGGCCTGGGGATTGAACTTGGGCCCCTGTACCTGCTTGCAGGTGCTTTAATCCACTGAGCTATTTGGCCAGCTGTTATTCATTCTTAAAAACATCATGTGTAGAGGCTTTTAGGGTAGAGTGAAGAATAAGTAGTTATGGAGAAGCAGTTGCAAATCTAATTTATTTATTTTTTGCATAGTATTATATTTTTTAAAATTAATTTTATCGAGAAGCAGATAGCAATGAGACAGTTTCAAAACTGATAATAGGACAGTTTCAATAATTAATACATTGCATATTGTTATCTTAGTGGTTATTCATAGTACAAGCTGCAGATATGATATCCTGTCCAAACACTGTTAAGACCTTGTCTTTTAAAAAAAGGCCAAACACTGGTCTACTACAGAAATTCCCTTCAGAAAGTCCATTATTAATTGACATTTACATTTACATTAAGAACTGAGGGATAGAAAATATATGTGAAGTGATTAGGGAAAACATTTTTTTTTTCCCCCAGGGAAGCATTTATTCCATGAGCCATCTCCCTGGCCCCAGGAACACATTTTTAATAAATTAGATTTGCAAACTTAGGTTGTTAACCCTCCAGAAGAGAAGCTTATTATTACCCTACAACGTGTGTGTGTGTGTGTGTGTGTGTGTGTGTGTGGCCAGCTCAGCCCACCAGGGGGCGGGGCTGGCTGGCATGTGGTGCTGGGGGATTGAACCGCGGTCCCTGTGCTTTGCTAAGCTTGTTCTAAGTAGGTGCTTTAGACCACTGAGCCATCTCACCAGCCCCCATGCTGTACCTTAGACTGACTTTCATGCATAGTATTTCTCAGCCAGAATCTACTCAACCACATGAAAACATTGAGTCAGGCACCCCCTCCGAGAGAAGGGATCAGAAAGACAGATTAGAAGTAGTGTGAGAATATATCACCCTATCTTTTTGTAGGGATTACAACCTCCTCATAACCTTCAGCCCTAATCCTGTCTAGCAGAGCTATGGGGCCACTGGGCCTAGGAGGCAGTCACAGAGCTGGGGTGATATTCCTCGCCAAGCCTGACTTCTGGCTAACACCACCAACCAGACTATGTCCTGGTCCTCTAGGACAAAACCTGGGACTTTAATACAAGCCAGCTGATGTTTAAAAGGACAATAAGGGATCAGGTCCACTTGGCTACATGTTAAAGAGTCGTCCAGCCTGCATGTGAGGTGAACCAGGGCTCTACCGCAGACCAGTGAGAAGTGAGTCTGCATTGCATACCTCAAGGCCCGTGAGAGGAAGTGTAGCTGGTCACACTGGAATGGGAGGTTTGAATAGATGAGACACGTAATATATACTTACACTGGAGAGGTTTTGTTTGCTTTTTAAATCTGCACATTGATAAACTGCAATGAAGCCCAAATGTGTTCAGTTTTAAGAGTGACCCAGGCAATTTTAATGGGAAATGGGTGAGAACACTGGGAGACCACGCAGACACCCATTTTCTTGAGGATGATAGGACATGCAAGCCATGAGTCTCAGGGCCTCTCTCATCCCCAGAGGACTAGAGAAAAGGGCTTAAGGTGTCCTAGGCCTTGCTGTCCTGGGCTGCCAGAGGGCACCTTCTGCACACACCTTATCTAAATGGTAAGATCATAAGGAGGAGTCAAGCAAGTCATCAAAAAGAGGCAGGAAGGGGTGCAGAAGGCAGCTGTTGGGCCTTCTCTTTCTGCCTTAGTCATATTTGTCCTTTGTCCTCTTTCTGACCTTCATTCCCTACAAGCTCCTAGAACACAGCAGAATCCTCCACATCACCTGTCCCCTCAGCTGTCCTTGGAAATCTCAAGGTTTCCTTCCTTTGTGTGGTGCAGCGGGGAGGATCATCTGCATGATCCACCCTCTTCTAGCTGGCCTTCCCTGTTTTCCTGTCAGTGCCTCAAGTGCTTGCAGATTCCAGCTGCTTGCTGCCAGCCTGTACTTTCAAGGTCGTCTCTGCTGACCCTAAGCACATTGCCCTGGTTTTCCCTTTGCACCTACTTTGGCGGATGCAGATTGCTCCTCGTACCTTCTGCATTCGTCCCATGCTCTGCTCAACAGCAGTGTGGAGTGCTCAGCCATGGATCCCAGTGTGGGTCTGGCAGGTGTGCACTGTTCCAGGCTACCCTGTGTTTGCAGAGGGTGGAAAGATAGGAGCGTGTGTGCCATGCACACATATGTAGAGGATTTCCTACCTGAGAGGTAAGATGGATGGGCTGCAGTTCTGGAGACCAAGGAAACATATTAATATTGTCATTTTTTTTTTTTTTTCAAAGAAAACACTTCTCTGTGATGCCTTCCTGGAAATACTTGGGCTGGGGTGTTTTTTCACAGGGTGCCCAGGATGTTTTGCACACGTTTCTTTATAAGATCAAATGCCCCTGAAGCTCAAGGCTTTGCCACTGGCTGTACATGTCCCAAGGAATTGGCTCCATTTATGGTGTGAGCAGAGAGAAGGAGGCACAGAGCTCGCTGCTAGGCAAACAGGTAAGGGAGAGGTGGAGAGCCTGGCGTACACTCACGCTACATCAAGGTGAAAGCTGGTTTGTTTCCTGCCTGTGAATAACCCATTTTGGGGTAACTTAGTTTGCAAATTAAAAGTGAGACTTCTGACACCTGGCCAGGGCAGTGGGGCAAGAACAGGAATAAGTTCTCGATACTCAGTCTTCACAGGCAGGGCCTGGGTGGAATGGGAACTCAGCAGAGACTCAGGAGTGAGAGCAACTGTAGGTGAAATGACTTCCAGGGCTGCCAATCTGCCAATGCCCTTTTATCCAGCTGCTTAGGGAAAGTGTGTCCTTAGAGAGGTTAGGAGTGGGTGGGGCTGGGGAAGGATCTGGTGAGGCACATGACTGGTCAGGCTCACACTGAGCAAATCTTGCTGACACTACCACATGTATGATGCCAGGTTCTCACCTGCAGAAGCTCTGTTGCTCTGTGGGTGGATGCAGGGGACTCATGAACAATGCTTCTGCACAGATGGTGCTGGCCAGGGGACAGGAGAGCCACTGCTGAGTGCTGAAGCAGCCCAACCTTAAGACAGCTCTGCAGTGCAGGGACAGCTGATCCTGGACTTGTCTGTGCAGTGGCAGATCTGAATGTGGTCTGTGCAGAGCAAAGCAGACAGGATCGCAAGGTCTCGGGTCTCATGGAACAGGCAGGAAGATTCCATCAGTGCACAAGGGCTAGTGGGCAGGATGCAGTAGGAGGTTGTGACCTGGGTGACATGAAGGGGCTGCCAAAGGGCATCCTAAAGTCTTGGATCAGCTCCCAGAAGCCAAGAAGCAGAAAGAGCCAAGGCCTGTCCAGGTGCACTGGGTCCCACAGACGTCAGCTCCTGGGGCAGGAGGAGGAAGGAATGGACAGGCATGGCTTTGGCTTTCCTGAGCACAGAGGAAGAGGGGGGAGCCCACAGTCCTCTCTCTGAGGGCCTGTTATGATGGGCAGTGAGTGGGTCAGAGGTTGGCACTGAGTGACAGTGGCTTGAAAGGCTGTGGTGCCTCTGGCTGGCTGTCTACTTCAGCAGGCACTGTCTCTGTCGGTGCTCCCTTTTCTATTGTCTATGCATTGTCTCATCACTTGAAACCCACCTGGGAACACCAAGAGCTGACGGCAAGAGTGACAGGAGGCAGCGTGTAAGTCAGCATTCATTCTGCAGTTGGGCTGTCCTCAGGTGGCAGGCAGGCAGGCAGGGGATGAATTTTTGGTGGGTTCCTTCTTGGCCACAGGCCTGGTCCTTCACGATCCTCTGAGGGTACAATGTCCCTTGATAGGTGAGGGGCTGGCTGCCACTCAGGCTGGACGAGGCCGAGGAAACCACCTTCCAAATGGCCTTGCCTCACACAAAGTGCAAATATTCAGATGCAGGCTGCGTATGTTATCAGGAAACTGAGCCACACTTGCTGGGGAAGCAAGAGCACTCAGAGCACCTCACATGTCCCCATGGCCTTCCAAGGAGCCTTAGCCATGGCCACAGCCTTCATCCTGCAGGGTGAAGCAGAGGGTAAGTGAGGCGACGAAGTGCAAGTGAGAATCCAGGAATCCCCTGAGCCCCTCTGCTTGCTGAGAGCATCTGATTCTGGAACAAGAGAAGGCTTTTCTTGAGTTTTTGTCCTCCCTCTGCCTCCCAAGATCCTCTCCCTGGCAGCCCCTTTGTTGTTACCCGTAAGGACCTGCCTGTGCATCCCTCCTGTGGGTTTTTGGGTGGGACGATTGGAGCTGAGGCAGTCGATACACTGCTGATTCCTACCATCTCGTTCACGTGCCCTCTCGTCTGGTTTCGTGTTTTCTTTTTTCTTCTTTTTGTCCTTAACAAGCTGTGATTGTAACATGTGCCTCTGAGGCACCAGGAGCCTAGGCTTCCCCGTCAGCCTTCTCAGCTGAACTTAGGAACCACTAGGTCACCATCGCAGGAGGGAATCAGAGTTTTTAGCTTGCTTTGTAGATACTCAAGTGTGTCAATATCTGATCCAACTTCTGATGTCCTGTATTTAGGGCATACTCATTGTGGTCCACATGTGCAATACAGCAGTGCACAGG